AAAATAATATTAGATTCTGTGCATGCAGTTGACACCTTTTGTACGTGCAATTAGTCGTTTATGTATCTATAAAAAAAAAAAATTGAAAGCACGTCACATGGTAATTAATGACGCATAACATGATAATTATGGACACATAAACTGTTAACTGCAGGTATAAAATATGTTAACTGCAGAACATAACATGTTAATCAACATGTTATGTGTATGCAGTTAACATTTACTGTACATACAGTTAATAATTTATGTGTCTATAGTTATCATGTTCTGTAATTATTATGCTAGGTGCCTTCAATTTGTTTATAAGTACATAAATGGTTATTATGCTAGGTGCCTTCAATTTGTTTATAAGTACATAAATGGTTAACTACAGGTACATAATGTGTTAACTGTAGATACATAATTTTTTAATCAAGATTCACAATACAATATGAACCTTGATGCATGGTATAACAGTTGATACCAAAAAACGCAATCCGTTGTATTGTGCCTGTTAGTCCATTAACTCCTAACCGGTGAATTGCAAGCAGGTTATGAGCTCTAACATAGAAATAGTGAATAGTAGTATAGAAGGTAGAGATCGAAAATAAAAATGAAGCAATAGGGAGAAAGTTAGAATTCCAATATAATCCATCAACTCCTTACAAAATAGGGGATACAACATATATATAATATACTCATATTAATAACAATAATAATGTTGAATGTTACAGATGTTATAACCGTTACAATAATGTCCTCACTTAATATTATTTATAACACAATCAAGTCAAGTAAGCTAATTTGGATGAAAAAATGTCAAAGTTGGATGCCAAAAGATAAAAATGCAATCTTGCTACTAAATTGAACAAAAAAAGTGTAATTAACCTTTTGAACAAGTAAAAATCGTGTAATTATACCCAAATGACCTGTTATACTGAGCCCGTCTGGTTCGCTGAAAAATATTTGAAGGAAATGGAATTCAAATTACATGGAAAACAAATTATTAGAAAAATGAATTTCATTGGTGAAAAAGAAATTACTGAGAATATGAATTTCATTATTTGGGTGGGTTTGAAATGGTAAGAAATTATGAATATAAAGACCAATATACCCTTAACAATCATAGTGATGATAATATATACATGTGTAATTAATAAACTTTGATGAGGGTAAAATAGTCCAATTATGTTATACTTCCTTCTCAAATCCTTTGGAAAACAAAATACCAATCTTTTGCTCAGATTTTGTTTTCCTTCACTTTCAGGAAGTCAAATTCCAATGGAAAATATTTTTCATCCAACCAAACAACATAAAACAACATTTTTCTCCACTTTTAAGAAAAAAAATTTCATGAAAAATATTTTCCATCCAACCAAACACCCCCTTGATAGTTATTTGTAGGTTATTATGCTTATTTGACATTTTAAATATAATTTTTATATTTTAAAAACAAATTAATGGTCCATGACATCACATTTCTATTTATTGTTAAGAGCAACCACATCACTGATTTTTGCTTAATTTGTTAGAAAGAAAAAATCAACATGTGATTTTTAACTAATGGGAGAGGTGGTTTTTGTGAGATTTTTATTCCTGCAATTCAAATTTTTGTGTGGCCCATGCTGCAACTTATTTCTAAAAAATAAGTTGACAGGTGCGCGTTTTGTGCACCTGCTGAGCCTAGCTGGCGCATGCGCTAGGTGCATAAATATGTGTCTTTTTAATTTATTTTTTTTTCCTTTTTGATTGTCAGTTCTTGGTTTTTTTCCTTGCTTTCCTCCCTTCTTCTCCCTCCCTTTTCTACATGGGTAGGGCCGGTCCTGGCCTTAGGGGGACCGCACAAGGCCTCCAATTTTTGGGGTCTCAAGTTTTTTTTTTTTTTTTTTTTTTTTTTTTTTTTTTAAATAGTTTTGATATAATTTATTATTTTTATAATTATTATTATTATTATTATTATTATTATTATTATTATTATTATTATTATTATTATTATTATTATTATTATTATTATTATTATTATTTTGAATTCATAGATTGATTTTAATTGTAATTGAAAAATAAATTTTTAGAATGAATTGACATCAGAATTTTGGTGAATAATTATGTATTTAAATAAATATGAACGAAAAATGACACTTTTTAATTAACTTTTGAATTGTATTCTTTCTTTGTTAAATTTTTATGCATTATATTTGGACAAAAAAAATTAATTACATTTTTATTTTTGTCATATAATACAATAACTTGAAGTTCATATTTGAACTCAATTATAGAGATTTTCTAGATCTTCTAGACTTCAATCTTCATCTTCCAAAAGTCTTTTAAAATTATGTTTCTCACCTTTATAAATAGAAATCTCTATCATTATAGCGAACTTTAAATATTAAATAATCTCTCTCTTGGTTGAAGGATCGAGATGTGTTGGCGGTCGAGGTGTTCACGGACTGTTCTACACTACAGGGTTATTTGACCTCCGGCTCGAGCTTCCTCCCTCATATGGGATTCATCATTGATTTTTGCAGGGTCACCATATCTACTTTTATGCATTGCTCTATTCATTTCGTTCCTAGACATACAAATGTTTTAGCTCATACGCTTGCCGCGTCGGTCTCTAGCTAGAATGTTTCGTTGTATTGGGATTCTATCCCGCTCGACTCTATTTGTGCTTTGCTCAGTTAATATATTACCGCTTTGCGCTCGTTTTCAAAAAATAATCTCTCTCTCTCTCCCCCTATATTCTTGTCTCTCTATTATTATCTTTGTCTTTGTAGTTTATTTTATTATATTTAGATTGCATCTTGGGACAAAAACAATGAAGATCCAAATTAAACTATTAAACATAGTCCTTATTTTTAATGGAACATCCCTGTACATGAGTATGACAAAAAACAAATAAAATCTTTAACTAATGTGGTTGCTCAAACAAAATTGATGTTTAAAACAATATTTTTATTATATTTGCAATAAAATTGATTTAAAAACATTTTATTTTTCCTAATATGAAAATTAAATAAAAATGAAATTAACTAGTGGTTCGTCAAATATGTAGCTTCGTCTCCTGTCAAAGTGCTAATATGAACCATTGAGTTGTTAATATATATATATATATATATATATATATATATATATTGAGTACTACTGACTCTTTTGTTACAAATTACAATGTAGTAATAACGTCATTTCATTTGGGAGAGTCACTTCGTATCACTAGACTATAAGGTTATTGGTCTATAAAATAATATTTTTTTAAAATAGCATAGCAAGATAACATGTAAGTAACTGACATTTTAAGGACATTCTAAATAGTAAAAAAAAATTATTAGATTTTTTTCTCCTCAAAATCGGAGAGAATGTTTATTTTTTCTTTAAGAAAAAGATCAAAGAATGACCACCAACATACGATCACTTGATAGGCAATTTATATCATCATGCTCATAATGTACAAAATTCATATTCATTATATCATGTTTATGTGTATGTATATTATGAACATAAATTCTATGCATTATAAACATGAAGTAGGTATATTATGAAGTCAAATTATGTGTATTGGATCGACCCTGATCCACGATATAACGATTGCACTTGACGTGCCCAACTGACTTGTGCAATTCTAGGTGCTGTTGATGTGTGAAAGTTGAAATGCATACCATCCTGGGTGCTCTCTCTTCCATCTCACCAAGAAAAAGCTCAACAAAATATGATATTCTCTCTTCCATCTCACCCTAATGTTAAAAAAAACAAATAATAATAATAATAATAAAACTCACAAAAAATTGATTAATGGTGATGCTTTAATAAAGTTGATTTTTCTATGAAAATTAGCCATCCAATTACACAACTAGGTTGCCACATTTCCATGCAAGATTTTCCAAATGATTACATCCTACCAAGTTGACTTTTTGAAGCCATCAGTCTCCTTTGCGATTAAAGGAGTGGTTTTCCTTCAAATTAAGAAAATATCCTAAGAACCATAACTTTCCTAAGTCCCATTTAATTAAAGTAAAAGTTGGTTCTTTGTTTGTTCTCTTGAAACCAGAAAGAGTTGTTTTCATGGGCACTTGAGAAAGGGGACCCCCCCAACCAAGCCACAAGGGACAACATGGGATTAATTGAACAGTTTATTGTGTTAATACCTTGCTGGTAAACATATATCAATTTCTTAATCTTGTCGAGAGTATGATCAGCCCGAACGGGTTTAACTCACTGGTTCAGTAGACAGTATTTGGGAGAAGAGGAAAAGAGAGTATGATGTTGATGAGCATGATCATATTTACATGGTGAAAATTAGCCGGCCGGGGGTTAAGATGGATGTGAAAAAGCTAAGAAAGCATAAAGAATTATTGGTTTGGAGTGAATTGGATCTATTCTTTGATGCCATTGATGTATGAACCACTGAATGTTGGCACAAATCCATAATTCTTGCCCTCCAGGGATCGTATGATGCTGGAGAAATATCAGATCTGATCTGATCTGATCTGATTAGCTACTTCACTTCATCCACCCCAGCCCTTTTCTCTGGAGTGGATCCAAGGTGGATGTGCACACACACACACACACATTTCACAGTGGAAACCAGCTGCATATTTAGGACAACTAAGATTTTTTTTTTTTGGGTGACCAGAAAACCCCACAGTCACTGCTCGGGGTAAACCCTGCCTTATGACCCTAGCCGACAAAAGATTCTGATGCCTTGTGACCCTAGCCACCACAAACCAAGAAGGCTAATAGGCTGCACTCACTGGGTGTCGGGAACTTGTAACCTCGTGGTTATCACGCCAACAGTTTGACCAATCTGGATGGGGTTGCCCTATTTTTTTTTTTTTTTCTTTTCTCTTTTTGATTCTTCAACTCTTTTAAAGAAATTCAGTGAATAAGCTGCTTTGATTTGCCTTTTTGTGACTTTTCCCATTCTAGGATGGTGATAATGGTGGTGTTTATGCTTTCTGGAGTTCAAATAGAATACAACTGTCTAAGAATATGCCTTTTCAAGATTCTCTTCTTATATGCAAAGAAATGATATCCTAAACTGCTTGTTATGACAACATTAGTAAATATGGATCTTTGGTCATATAAACAACTTCCAAATCTACATAGTCTTTGAGTTTTGAATGATATTTAAGAACTAATGAAATTTCTGGGACAGTTTCAAACTGCTAATTGGAAACAAATAATCACCTGGAAGCTCAAAACTGATGGCACTCATAATTATTCCTCTCAGCTCTATAGCAACCTATGGAAGTAAATTCTGCTCCTTAATACAAATTTCGAAGAGGGCGACCGCTCTTTTCAGGTTACGATCTCTACCAAGGTTACCACAGCAAATACTAGGAATAGCGTACCGCCAATGTATGCAATAACCTGAAACAAAAGACGTTAATTCTCTAGCTTTGCCATGAAGTAAATATGCTCAAGATATAGGAAGGTAACCTTTTCGGATAAGAATGACCCGAGTAATGAGCCACCAAGAACAGCCAGCTGCACGAATTGTCGTGTTAAAAGATGTTGTAGCATGGATAGATCGATATAACGAGAGAAAGAGAAAAGATATCCGAGACAAAATAGAAACAAAAATTGCATTTTCAACTCTTAAATCACTGTCTACAAATGAAAATTTGGTACGAAATCTGTTTAACGTACCAGAGTTGCCACTCCATGGCCAGCAAGCGCGCCTGCAATTACTCCAAGAGGCGAAGAGGCTGCAGCAAGAGCTGAAATAACAGCATTCTGTTAGTAGTTGTTGAGCATATAATACATGTAAACGTAAATGTGCAATTCAACTATAAGCTTAGGCTTTTAGTTAAGATGCATGCTTCAATTTGGTATCAGAGTCATGCCAAAGGTCATGGGTTCGAATTGTGGTCCCACCTATTGTAGAGAAAAACGATTTGTCACCCCATTCAGCAACGAAGACTAAAACAAATGTGCTAATGAGAGTGTTAGCAGAAGCCAATATTCCAGCACCATTTCCCGAAAGCTCTGAAACAGCCAGCTCAGCCTGGCATAGGAACGACCCACATTAGCCCGTTAAAAGTACATGAAACCATTCTAATTGGATTATCATATAACGTTTACCTCCTTCTGTTCTTCTTCAGCTTTCATGCCATCGCTAGAGGAGGCATCGAGCAAGGTCGAAACACCAAAATACAACTGCAAGTAGACAGACACATAATAAGGACTGCATTGCACATGTGATTGGTTCTCGTGCAAAATTGCATTACGAATTAATTACCAGAAGGATAACCGCAGCAATATCATCAATAGGCAAATCGGTACCACCAATCCTGCATTTATGATGTTTTGTTTGCTTTAGTAGATTGAGAGTTCGTGTCTCCAATCATCTATTTATCCGAGAGGTCTACAATCAGGATACCTTAATAGTGGCATTTACATCTAAAATTTATCCAATACCTGAATGGGAGGACATCGTCGACATAGTGAAATGTACGCCCAAGGACAACAGATATGATCGTCATTACCCTGAGAGAATATTAAAAATAAAATAAAAATTCGTTCACTTCATTGCTATGTGAGATGAAGAAGCAAAACAACTTACGCTAGTGCACCAAAAGTTCCAAAGAATGTGACGATAGATGAGTTCCGAGCAGCTAGAAGAGCCTGTTCATATTATCGAATGATCAAACTATCCAAGATTTGATTGAAGAATGGCACTGAATTAGAACAAAAATATGTGGCGCTAAGAATAATTTTTTCAAAAAAAAATATAAAAAGTAAATCTTTTTATACTATTATAGAAGAGTCTCATACTGCAATGAAGAAGGTTTTGTCCCCAAGCTCAGAGAAGAATATCAACAAGAATGCCTGTATATAAAAAGAGAAATTCAAAAGATTAGTAGGAAAGAAAACCATATATTAGATTGCAGTAAAAAATTGCACTTTATGGATTTGAAATTGGTAAATTCAAATGCATCTTGTTGTTAGGCTCATTTCATAAGTACAAAAATAAAAGGTTCATCCAAATGCATAATCATTTTGAATCGTTTAAATTGGAGATCCATTTTAGGTAGGGCTTACGAGAGAAATATAAAAGCAAGAAAATTTTTGTTTTCATATGAGCAAAACAAGATTCTAAACGAGAAGTCGGAGATTTCCTAACTGAAGCAAAACCTGTGCTTATATCGCCAAGATCCCCAAAGATGGACGTGGCCTGCAATCCAGTAGCAATATCTGAAGCAGCAATCGCTTCTTGAGTACCAAGGAGAGCGAGAAGCCCAGACATCGACACAAATTTAAGAAAGTTATCATGTGAGATATTTAAAACTTCATTTTTCCTCGGTCTATTCAGTAATGTAGATTTCCTTGGAAGGTTGCATTCTTCCCCAGCATGAGGCAACCTTGCAGTGCAGCAACATTTACGCTTACTGGTCTTGACCTCCTGAACGAAAAACCGTATTTTTAGATGAGAATACCAACCAAGTGAGACTTCCTAAGAACACCAAGATCTTTCAAAGTTTGGCAATTAGCAGAGAAAACTTATCTACTCAATCCGTCCGATTGAACATATAGAACAATGTAGATAATTATCACTTTAGGCAGGAAACAAACTCCAAATGGCAATCATATAATCCTTCAAAATGCTAAGCAACAAAATATAAAATTTTATGCAAAACCAGAACAAGAAGAAAATGCAGCAAATTGGAAAACCAATCAAAACTAAAGTAATAACTTTAAATACCTTGAGGAAGAAATTACCACGTAATCCATCATATTTGCATCCACAAAGCTGCCTTGAACACCTATCAATTGCTCAAACATAAAAGTAGAAGAGAAATGAACAACATTCCTACATATCATCCTATCTTAAAATTAAAACACCTAAAACTAACTGCACAACCATTCAAATATCAAGATTTGATTTTTACTACATAACAAGATCTCCCACATTTTGTACACTTAAAGAATCCTGCTCATAGTCCAAGAAAACTGGAAACAAAAACATACCCGGAGATCGCAAGAGTGTTATTGGGACGAGATGATTTTGTATGGAATCGAAAGGTGAAGAATCTAACAAATTTATGAGAGAAATTTAGAAGGGGAACATGGGTGGGTGTCATAGGCCTCAAAAGCGGGCGCTCTGAAGAGAGCGCAACGCCTAGCATTCTTGATCTCCTTCTGTTTTGCTCTCTGCGTGGTGATGGAAATGGTGGGCGCAGGGGATAGAAGTAGATAAGCTTATCAGTGATTGCGCGCCAATTAGACCGTTACATGCTTGGGCCGTTTTATCCATTTGCCAACAGTTTCTCTGCACAAGTTTCAGGTTTGCCAATTTGATTATTGTTGTGCGGCCTTACTAGTACATTATTTATGTATTGAATGTATATTATTTGACAAGATATATAAAATAATGTACTTTTAAAAAAAAATACTACTGAGTCTATTACAATGCAATATTTGCTCATAATTACTTTCTCAATCAATTGAAGCACAAATAGCCAATATTGCCTTCATTGAGGCTCGATCCCACAACCCCTTCCACTTAAGGGAGTAACTTGGTGCTTACTTAAAAAAAATATACTTTACGTACATAAATAATATATTTTTAGTATATTAAAAATGTACTTTTTATATATGGTCCACACAGTTGTGTAGACCATGATCCATGTAATAGAATTGACGAATTGTTATGCCGTGGAACCGTGTCCACCTTGGTTCTATGTTCATAATTATAAAATTCTGTGTTCATAGTTTTTTAACTTCATACTCACAATTATTGAACTCTATATTCAAAACAACAGAACTCTATATTCATAATTACTGAACTCTATGTTCATAATTATAAAACTCTATGTTCATAATTTTTGAACTTCATATTCACCATTATTGAATTCTATATTCACAATTATAAAATTCTATGTTCATAATTATAAAATTTTATGTTCATAATTTTTAAATTTTATATTCATAATTATGAACAATTTTAGAATCGTGTCCATCTTGCGTTCCAGCATAATTTGCCCAATGTAATAATGATTGACCGATACATGTTTGGGCCGTTTATAAAGTTGGAGAGCATATGCATGTTTGGGCATTTGCTCATTGCTAACATTTTTACTTTTTTTGGGCCGTTTATTTTTCGAGCAATTTATATCATAGACTAGGGACCAAATAGTATCAATCGTTATGCTCTGGACCCGTGTCTAGCATGCAGTAACAGTGCCGTTAGGCACTATTATCCTTTTTTTTTTTTTTTTTTTTTTTTTTTTTTTTTTTTTAATTTCAAATTCGTTATAGGAGTATATGTTCATAATTTTATTACTATATGTTCATAATTGTAAGTTCATAATGTCAGAGCTCTATGTTCATAATTCAATAACTGTACATTCATACTTCCATAACTGTACATTCATAATTTCGTAACTGTACATTCATAATTCAATAACTGTAACTTCATAATTTTCGAAGCTCTTGTTCACAATTTTAGAGCTCTATGTTCATAATTTTATCACTATATGTTCATATTGTAAGTTCATAATGTCAGAGCTCTGTGTTCATAATTCCATAATTGTATATTCATAATTGCATAACTGTACATTCATAATTCCGTAACTGTACATTCATAATTCAATAACTGTAAAATCATAATTTTCGAAGCTCCATGTTCACAATTTTAGAGCTCTATGTTCATAATTTTATCACTATATGATAATTGTAAGTTAATAATGTCAGAATTATGTATTTATAATTTTATAACTTACATTCATAATGTCATAACTGTACATTCATAATGCCATAACTGTACATTCATAATTCCATAACTGTACATTCATAATGGCACAAACGAATAACGTCGTTAACGGCGAGACAAATTCAATTTTTTTTTAACTGGAATGACGCGTTTTTCTTAAAAACAACGTCGTTTTGGACTCGTGTCCACAATGCATTGTGGACACGGGTCCAGGGCATAATTTGCCAAATAGTATGAGTAGTTATGCTGTGCATTACGGATGCAAAAACGACGTCATTTTATTAAAAACACGCGTCTCCCTTTTAAAAAAAAAAATCAGGTTCGATTCCCAGCAACAACATTATGTTGTTCATTCATTATGGAATTTTAGTTCATAGATTATGGAATTTTAGTTCATAGATTATGGAATTATAGTTTATCGATTCTGGAATTGTAGTTCATCGATTATGAAATTTTAGTTCATAGATTCTGGAATTTTAGTTCATTCATTCTGGAATTTTTAGTTCATTCATTTTGGAATTTTTAGTTCATAGATTAGATTATGGAATTTTAGTTCATAGATTCTGGAATTATAGTTCATCGATTCTGGAATTTTAGTTCATATGTTGTTGGTGGGAATCGAACCTGATTTTTTTTAAGGGGAGACACGCATTTTTAATAAAACAATATCGTTTTTGCATCCGTATACACTATGCATGGTGCATACAGATGCACAGCATAATTTGCCAAATAGTATATGGACCCTGGATCAAAACGATGAGATATAAAATTTATATTTGTAAAGTGTAGAATTTCATAACACAAAATACAAAAAGATCACAATACAAGACACATGCACATGTTATATATTTACTTATTTTTCAAATCTGATTTAGATACATAATTTATATTTATAGGGACAGAATTTCACAACACAAGGCATAAAAATTCATAACATAAGATCTAATTACAAATTTGTTTCAGGTACAAAATTCATACTCTTAAGGTATAAAATTTCATAACACAAGATATAAAACTTATAATATAAGACATACATACACTAGGATCTACTAGAATCCACAATGTACTGTGTACCCTGGTCCATAGTATAATTAGTATGCCTTTATTAATGATGTTGTCAAAACTTTTTTTTTTTTTAATATAAGTCTTTGAGATAATTAAAATATAAGTTTTAAAGTAATCATTTGTCAAATTGGTCATGACCTAAATACTAGCATGGAGCAATACCAATAATAATTTAATTTTAAAAAACCTAACGCCACTCATTTTGGCACAACTTCATTAATTATAATAATAAAAAATTACACTTTTCTTCTCTAAGTTATATGATAATTGGAGAATTCGTTCCTAATTGTTGTCATACTCACTTTTCGTCCCTAAGCTATCATTGGCGTTACACTTTTCGTTCATTTACTAACAAAACATTAGGGACGAAATTTGCAACTTTAATATAACATAGGTATGAAAAGTAAGCACAAAAAGTTTAAAAAAAAAAAAATGCAACGCCAATGATAGCTTATGGGCGAAAAGTGAAAACAACCAACATTTTGGGACAAATTTTACAATTATCGTATAATTTAGGGACGAAAAATATAATTTTCTCTTATAATAATGAAATAATAGAAACTATTTATTATTTGTCTGAAATAATAGCAATACTTATATATATATATATATATATATATATATATATATATATATATATATATATATTGGGTCTATAAATTCCAATGTGCTAGCTTATAGTGATTTCGCCATTGAGTTACACACAAACGTTTTACAAAGAAATTGAACAATTTTTTTTTTAATTTTTTTTGGTAGATAGGGAGAAATTAATTTATGTTATTCTAGCACATTTTCTTTGGATGATGAGGGAAACTTATAGTCACTACTTGAGTTTCAAGGTTGTACACGGGTAAATCACACTCTTATGTAATTGACTAATTGTCCTCAAATCACATAAGAAAGGTAAATCACATTAAAAAGACCCTGTACAACAAATTCAACCGATCCCAACAGGTGTTAGTAAGAATTTAACTCGTAATCTTTAAATACGAGATTCATATTCTACCCACTTAAATATCTATTTTGGGGCTCTAACACAATTTTTTACATTTACAAATCAAATTTCATTTGTAATGTTATTTTTTTGTAACTTTAAACATGACAACTTATCAATTACTACCGCTTTAAAAGCAAAGGTCAATCACGTATCATAATTTTAAATGGTTAAAGTCTTAAAGTAGCTAAGATGTGGTCGTAATATATTAATCTTGTTTAGTTTATTGGTTTCAACTTTGATTTATTTAGTTCATATATTTGAATATTTGATAAAATTAAGATATAAACTAATATTGTTAATCCAATTATTATATATACCTACTGCATGTGACAATAACGTGAGTATTATATTGCCACGTCAAAATATGCGTATGTGTGGTAATCAGCTTGCCAACTTTCATTATTTTAATATTTTAACAAATAAAATAAAATAAATATGTTTAAAGAAAATAATTATGATCTGGATTCTAGATAACCATGGTCAATAACTACTAGATTTGAATTGTCATGGTCAACTTGGAAAAATCACCTCCAATCAAAACTTTGAGCATCTTCACACTGCACGTCTGCACCCACCCTCACTACCTCCATCAAAATTTAGAAAAATCACTTCAAATTATATGTTTTCTATCTTGAAAAATTATCCTTCGTTTTCCCAAAAGGGATAATAATTTTTTACCGAAAGTATTTTTTTAAAAGTAATTTATAATTTTTTTTTTTACAGAAAACTAAATAAAAATCTTTAGCCGGTCCCATTCATTCATGAGATGAAGAAATATTTTAGCATGTCCGTATAGACAACTCAATTGATACTCCGTATTCAGATGATAAATTGTGAACAATGATGCAAAATTGACAGTTGCAGATGTGTTAGGCTCCAAGCACCGGACCTCCTACCTAAGAGACTATTGAGTCACTGTGATTATCCCTCCACTATCTTATTGGATTGGAACTAGCCTTTCATGGACCATTTTAGCATTTCAAATCACGTGTTTTTCCAAAGACCACAACATTTGCTACTAATTAAATGCAAATTATATAATTGAGGATACAAATTAAACGTGTTTGCTTTATTTTTATTTTTTAAATTTTTTAATTTTTTTTTAATTTTTTGTCTTCATTCACCTAACGTTTTGATCACCACCGCCAATTATTATATTTGATAAACTTATATTGACAAAGGTGCCAACTAAAACGAATCAGGTTGAGTTCATAATCCAATCAATAATGACCAAGAAGTAATGAAACAACACTGATGGAATTAATTAAACCGGGGGTCCGACTTAACTAACCCGAATGAGAATATAAATAATAAATAAATGATACGAGCGATATAACGAAGGCCGTGAGACCGTAGCTTGTATTAAATGCCGTGGAATTGGCTATTACAATGATTCTTCAGTACAAAGTGTGTCTGTAAAGTAGATTGTAGATAGC